ACTATAAATCAGTGACATGCATCAAAACAATCTTTGACGTGCTGACTACAGCAAGCTCCTAACTGCCCAATGTTTGGTTAGGACCTGACAATTGGCAAATCCTGGATTTATACATATATATAATAATTATAAAAAAACCAGTAAGTTAAAATATAAATATTTATTCCTTATTTGTCAGAACTTTCTTTAAACAGTAAATATTCACATTATTATGTTTGTGCAAGTAAAAAGTAAGTCAAACTTTGACATTCACAACAAGATGGAAATGACATGACTAAAGTAGCATGATAGTTCAAGGTCTATACTGTTCACAAGCCAGTAGCTTCTCGTGGGTCAGTGGTTCTTTCCATGGATTTCCGGTTTTTTCCTCCACCATTAATACTGGCTGCCATATATAGCTTATCATGTGCTGAAAAATGGCGTTAAGCCCCATAACAACAACAACCGTTCACTTTAAATCATTGACTGGGTATAGATCAGAGTCTACTTTCACTTTAAATCAAATATTGGGCAAACAGTATTTATGCTAACCTTTTGAGGCTGGTCATGGTTCACACTAGTCACCTGAAATCATACATAGGTCAATATGTATGGATACTGATCTACTTGGACATTAAGCCTTGACAAATCAGGACCTACACTGTCCACTTTAAATCATAAGTTGAGCAGACAGTATAGACCTGGGTTTACTTTGATATTCAGCATTATAACAGATCATTGTCTACACTGTCCACTTTAAATCATTAGTAGGGCAGATGGTATAGACCTGGATCTACTAGGGTGTTCAGCACTGACAGATTAGAGTCTACACTGTCCACTTTAAATCATTGGTAGGGCAGACAGTATAGAGCTGGATATACTTACGTGTTCAGCATTATGACAGATCAGGGTCTACATTGTCCAGTTTTAATCATAGGTAAGGCAGATATTATAGATAGGATCTAATTTGGTGTTAAGCAAGATGACAGATCATGATTTTAGCAATTTATAGCTGGGGAGGCATTAAACATGAACAAGAAGTGTATTTAGTCATACCTGAAACACAGTGATTGCCTTTTCTGATTTCTCCTTCAGCTCTTGCACCTCCATTCGATATTTATTCACATCCTCTAATGTTTTTGCATTTTCCAGCTCTGTCAGTGATTTTCTCAGAGCATCCTGACTTTGGCGGACAGCATGGATCTTAAAAAAGAACAATTAGACAGGGCTGTCTCTTTGCATGCAAAATAAATTTCTTGAATATAAATTTCTGTGGCTATTGATAAACAATATAACTAATAAAGATCTTGACTAAAAACTACTGAAATGATTTAAAAATACATTGGTTAGCCTAATAAGACTAGTCTGCTTGTTTAAAAATGATCCAATAATACACTGTTTAACTTAATAATAATGGTTCTACTTGCATCGAAATATTATGATCAGGAGGTTCTGTTTGTCATACCGCTTCAGTTAAATACTTCAAGCCATATGAATGGGCTGCATCAAATTAATTACACAGATGGTATTGAAGAGTTCAATGCAAAAGTAGCTAATGTACCTTGCTTTATATCTGTTCTTTTTAATAAACATGCATGTGGAAACAAAACAAAGTATAACAGGCTAATTTGTCAATATGTTTGACATGTATTAATTTAGAGTTGTGTAATTAAAAGCTCAGTGTGAAACGTCAGTGTATCAAAAAGCAACAAGAATATTTAATTTGTTGCATCTAGGTCCAAACAAATTAAAGAAATAAAGAAAGCAACAATTTCAAACTATGGAACAATGACAATAATAGCTAAGGCAAATACAAAGCAGAGATAATTTCTATTAGTTGCTAAGCTAATGAATAATGATGGATATGGGACAGTTTAGGACTCAATAAAAGGCTTGACCAATCATATACTTAATATCTTACTCCTTACATGATAGGATACCTACCAATTAATTGTTCTCACAGAAATGTAACAACTGATGGACAATATAAAATAGCAATAACATTTATTGCTCTTTTAGAAAAAATGTAACATCCACAATATAGAGATAATAAGATACAAAAATGTATATGGGACAAGAGGAAGTGAGATCTATGTCTCTAACATCAGCTGAAGTCAAATCTGAATTTAGTTCAATAATGTATAACAACAATGTGGCCAGAAATTAATAATCATTTACAAATATACAAGATTCAAAAATAAAACTTGGTTGTAATGCAGTCTTTATGAAAGTTCATAATTTTTCAAGATTCCATCAGGCTGACCAAAATGTTGGTAGCAACTCCTTTTTTGACTCTAATTTGATCACCAACACATCCCCATGATATTTACAACTGGTCATATAAGGAACTATGCTAATACTATACCTGCTCTTCCAAAAGAATATCAGATCTGTGCTGGACTGAGTATACCTGACCCTTCATTCTATTGGATCGGTCTAAAACATGGACCTGCTTGGCTGTCATCTTTATTAATATGGCTTCTGTAAATGGGAAATTGAAAACTACTGCTAACACTGAAAATGTTATCCATATTTGTAGTTTTGAGCAAATAATTGTTTTTTGTGTGGAAAAATATGCTATTGCTAATGAAAGTAACAACTATTTAATACTCAATAATACATAGGTGCTCTTAGCAGGTGTATAACCTAAGGGAATTCTGTATTTATTATTTATTTATTTCTTTTTTACAATCTCCATTGCCCAAGATTCAATATCAAATCTGTTTGCATATCAGGGGTGGAAAAGTTTTTTTTAAAAAAAAATAGTCAGCTTGCCACATGGCAATATGACTGAAAAACTGACCTTGTCCCAGAGTAAAATGACCTGAAAACAAAAGTTGCCATAGCGAGATTCAAGCTTGAAAAAAAAAGACACTATAATATCACCTTGAAACTGGTCACATGCACCAACCAATCTTTAACAAACTAACTTTTGTGTGCTGCTCAATTAGCACTGAAAGTCAACTATAGTAAAAGACACACATCATGTGTAGGTATTTACCCATTTGACATATATAATGTTCTTTAAAATTCAATACTAATTTGGTTCAACCAAAGTCTATTCAATCTTGATAACTTAATGCTATGCATCAACTATCATCAAGAAACTGCTAGGCAAAAATTATCAATCGCTATGGACTTTTGCAATTGTGGCCAGGTATTGGAGTGGATCAAGAAAAGAGTATGTTGAGTCTAATCCACACAATATAGGGATGTAAAAAATTTATTTATTGACATGCATAACTTAATATTAGGATATAACAGAGCACAACTTCATTCCTAATTGTATTGGATCACGGCGTTAGATTGATCTTGTCCAAAAATGTTCACATGCATAAACATTGATTTTGCCATATGTACTTCACAGGGATTGTAAATAATGACATTTCAAAGGAATATGGATGTTTGAGGATCCAAAAATAGTAAATAATTGTCATTTTAAGATATAAAGAATAAAATTCTACAAAATGAAACCCATTACTGAAATAGTTGGTGTTGAACATCAACATGACCTGCATGATTCTTATTATAATAGGCAGGATCAATTTGTATTGATGCATAATCCATGATTAACAAAAAGTAAATGACCACAATTGACATAACTTAGCATCAGAGTAGCTGGCATCAATATTGGTTTCCATACCACCTTCGTCAGTGGATAACAAATGAGTTCAATATATCTTAGCAACAAAAGAGCATACTTAATTTGTGTCAAATGGTTAATAATAAAAATATTTTTTTAAAAAGTTTGATTTACGGTGCCCTCGAAAAAATGAAATGGTGTACTATACAGTTGCAGTTGTTTTAACTGTTATTCAATGAGCAGTTGGTGGAGATGTGTCTAAAATAATATGATTAGCCCTTTCATATTTAAAAACTGCAGTCAGTTTGGTTGGCAATGTCAACAATATGGCGGCTAACAGGAGCAGAAAATGTTGCTAAGGAAATGTGGTTTAAATGCGGCAATGCAAGATTTTCTTAATGCCATACACATAGTCTTATCTCAATATCTGTCTTTATTGCATCAAGCAAAACCCAAACCTAGATAATTGCTTTAACAAATTAAACGAATACCTGTAGTGTTAAAAGTCCTCAAATTGGCCGTCCTGAGGCGACATGTTCAAGGATTTTATCCATTCGGAACGCTTTCGTGTCTTTCCAATGCCATGTTTTTTTGGCGCACGAACATCCAGCGACATGATCGAATAACAAGATAATTTGTGAAAACAACACTCAAGAACGTATCAGCATTAAATGGAAAAAATGCACATTTAATTTATGATGTTATTCCTGAACTTTGTAATACAAACAAAAACTGTTTTAATTGTCCACAACCACTGCAGTCAGTGGTGAAACGTCATATATTCATTGTGACGCTATGAAGTTAATTTAAATAAAATCAGTTATTCACTGCCCTTCACGTAGGACAGTGAAGATCTGACTTTAGTCTGATTGTGAAGTTAATATGACGTAAAAATAACCACGGGCTTGACAGCAGTCAAAATGGGAAAAGTCGAGAATGTTCAGATTTAGAATTTTGTCCAAACCATAGAACACATTTTCCTTTGTTCTCGTCCTAAAAGAAACTGATATTGGAAATGCCGTATTAACTCATTTCAATAATTTGGACCACCTGGACTATTTCTGCGAGACAAAATTATGCTTTGGTTGCATGTCGGAGCAGTAATTTACTGAAGAATTTGGTATCACTTCCCGGTCTTTTTGGCTAAGATCAAAGTGTGTGTGTGTGTGTGTGTGTGTGTGTGTGTGTGTGTGTGTGTGTGTGTGTGTGTGTGTGTGTGTGTGTGACGTAGCTTTAACAATTTTGCAATCATGTCGCTACGATGTATGCAGTGTGGCAATTTATAGTGATGTCTACTACTAGGGCATCATTTCACAATGCATGTAGCATGAAGTACCACACGGTCACATTATCCGGACACCAGGCCGACCACTCCTAACACTAACCTCTTAATCTGAGCGCCTAGCGAGGCCGCTGGTAGTACCATTTTTATAATCTTTGGTATGACTGCCGGGGTTTGAACTCGCAACCTCACGCATCCGAGGTGGACGCTCTAACCATTAAGCCCCAGTCTCGAACGCGTAGTGTATAGAAGAATTTGCGAATTCAAAGTAGTTCTATGAATTCGCATATGATTTCGCACAAATAGCAGAGATAGTCCGAATGCTTCACCTCAATTTTTTTTTGGGGGGGGGATAATCGTGGTTTTCCGAACGGCAGCTTTAATCAATCGAATGTCGAAAATTACGCGAAGTTTGTCAAACCACTCTACACGATCAATGTTTAACAAGTGTCTCTGGTATCTGGCGATTTACAAACCAAATTTTAATATAATCCCTACGCCGACTAACTCTATGGTCACGACTGTATGTTCAGGGCAACAAATTAATCCCAAACACTTGGCCCCATTACTTTGCTTATTTTCAGGACTTACTAAGGTTATTTATTGTATTCAAACACCATCCGATTTATTAATACCATTCCCGTTTTAAAATCATAAACCATCAAGGATATACAAAATAAGTGCTCAACAACAAAAATATTACACAGTCCCAGGGCTGTTGACTTGAAAGCCCTGACTGAAATTCAACAAGCACCGACTCTAATTTTCACGTGCTCAAAATTTCCCATTTTTTAATATTGTCACACAACGTTGCAATAGGTACAATTCGAATGGACATTCAATAGAGTTCAAAGGAGTTTGAAGGTATTGCAAGTGTCATTAAGTGTTCATCACCGTATTCAGTAGGGACTAGATGGTCCTCGTGTTCAAACTTCTCTGCTGGATTCTCTGACTGAATCCTGGTCAGAACCGAGTTGACGTAATGTTGATGTGTTGTTTGCATTATGTGCACAAAATTCATAGCACACCCACCCTACCCCTTATAGGGGGGGGGCTTTTAGTTTTGTTTTTAGCTGACGTACTTCACCACATAAAGCTTCGTCAACCAAGAGTTCATAAATTTATTTTTGTTGTGCTTTCCTGTTAGTTAATTGCTTCCTAAATCTGCTTCAAATTGAATTACACTTGAACACTGTTCCGACAGTTGAAACGATCGTAGTTTGCATCTACCTATGAAGTAAAATCCTACTTCAAAGAAATGTTGCCGCTGTTCACAAACTCGTCAAAAATATAATACAGATGGCTCGGTGTCATTTTAAGGCATAGGCACGCGAGGCATAGAGTCCCCGCGGCGGCCCAAAAACAAACTTTCGGTGTCGGTTGGGTTAACCGTTTAGTGTTTTTGCCTATGTTCCCCAAAACTTCTTAAAACGATTCTGATATGGCTTAAAGATTCTTATTGAATGCAAGGAATTGTAATAGCTTTTGTTCTATATGCTTCTAGCAATTCTTTGATTTACCTATAAGTTGTTTCATTTCCTGATCCTACCTATGTAAATTAGCACAGTGGGCTGACCCACTGCAGCCTTCCAATACATCTCTCTAGCTATCGTCAGCCAATTAAGTAATACGTGAAATGGTTGATTATGCTGACCTCTTTTTCCATTAATTGTCCTTATACTATGCGCAAGAAGCCATGCAACCATCATTGAATGGCCGATACCAGTGGAGAATTTTTAGATAGCGGATTAATACTACAAAAATGTTTTGGCACGAAAGAAGTAGCATTTATTTCCATCCGTGTCGCACCGGTATTTTCGTTGTCTTAGACACAGCAATGTAAATTGCATAATTGCTGCGTATTTGTTTAAACTAGCACTATGAAATATTAGGATTTTCGTGTATGGACTGTTATGGAAGGCTATGGTATTGTACCAGGCTATATATTCTCCACTGTGTCCAAATCATAATAAATCATACATAAATCTAAAGTACCTTCAACGATGAACTTAATGTTTAGCTAAAAGTCATAAGTTATCCGGCATTTTGTTTCAGATGCCGGACTGATAAAGTACTATGCAATATGTAACATATCTCACTTCCGGGTCAACCTCAATCTCTCAGGACTCATTGTGCATTGTCACCAAAATATACACAGATACCAACAACATAGTGCTCATATTCTGATGAATAAATATTTCTCTCTAAATATGTACCAATAATGTGTCAACCATTTTACAATCTAAGGAACATATCACTTGTCATAGTTTCTTTAGTGTTTACAAATATTGCAATTTGCAGCAAAAATCACTAAGAGAGAGCTTGTTTCATTACCCCTTAGCAAAATGCTATACGTTGTACAGACCCAAGTTATCACTTGTTTTATATGCTATTCATTAGTCAACTTTGCTGTATAATATTTGTTAATTAAATTTTTCAAATTTATATGGAAATTTAATTTCTTTTTAACATTTTTTAAAAATTTAAATATTTTTTTCTTAAAATTTAATTTTCATTGCCTAACATTTCACGCATATGTTCAGATAAAACTTTTCTTGTATTATAATTAAGTTTTTTTTACTGCTATGCCAAAAAAAATTCTATAATTATGTTAGATATAGAAAAGTTTTTTTTGGTTTCTCAGGACCACTTGGCTAAAAAAAAAATAATAAAAAAAAAATAAAAAAACACTTGGAACCTGCATGTGCAACACCTGCAGAACACATTTTCTGATAGTTGTCACACATCTTGTTTGAAATTCAAAAAGACTTCGTTTGTAAAGTTGAAATAATTGTTTAATTGTTGCATGCAAATATAATAGTTTAAATATAATTGGCCTTAAAGAAAAGTTGGTCTGATAGGACTCGGATCACAGCTATTACTTCTGGTTCTGTAGTAGAAAAAAGTCCTGGGCTATTTTTAGTACTTCCTCCCCGCCATCCTTCTCATTTTGGTGGTGATGTAAGAATTAGATATAGGATTTGTTTTACTGGTTAAGACGTAACTGTTTATTGTTAGAATTTGATCATTATGGTGTGGTTGTCTGTGCGTATTTGCGTATTTCGTCGACAGTGTATAGTGAGTAATGAAGTGGGTTTTTGTTGAGCCGGAAGTGAACTCTTAAACCCAGTTTACAGTGCTTTGTTTACGGTCCAGCTTCTGAAAATAAATGCCATATACCTTATGAGAAGAACTTCATAACGAGTTCATCTTTGAAGGTAATTAATATTAACCTACTATTTATCAGGATTTGGACTAAGTGGAAAGTTTACTACAAAGAATCAAATGTAGAAACCGTTTAAAAAATAGCTGATGCCTCGAACGTATGCATATTAGTCTGGTTACCTAACCACTCTCCAATCCATTGCTCCTCATAGGGGAGCGTTCACCAGTTATTATGTATTATTATATACTTTTGAGAGAGTGATGTATGTAAGGTGAAGTTGTGTGCATTTAAAACATGCACAGTGGAGAGAATCTTGGCATACCTATATGCTACTTTGATGTAATGTGACTAACATTTTTTGGATATTACTTTTGGAAATTGTAAATGATCTAAGCATACAGCTAACGAAATGGCTGCTCCCTTTTTCTCCAAAAATAAGCCTGAATTTGTCGAAAGTACACTATCCTTAGCAGCTATTAAAATATGGAAAATGAATTTTGCCAGACTAGGCAATATAGCTTCTGAAAGTGCGATGAATGAATAATAAATATATAAAATGTTTTTAAAATAATGTTATCGGCATTGTTTTTTCTACATTTTACCGCTGAAGTTCAGGAAGTGGAAATTACCAAGCAGAGCTAACACTTTTTTGAAAGATGCACATCTGAAGTAAGGCCGAGCTGTATACTATACAAAACATATCACACGTATCAATCATACACCAAAATAAAGGAAATTTAAGATTCTTTAAACAATACCTAAGATATACAATGTCTTTTTTTAAATAGCCAGTAAAACTAGTGAGGCAACCTGGAGAAATTTATTTTTTAAACCATTCTAACCCTGATACAAAACTTTAGGACGCCACCTAACGAAGACCATGCTGCATACATTGAAAGCAATTCTGCAACATAGTCACTAAGTAAGCGTCTCTTCGATTTGGCGATTTACCATCGCCTATTGGATATTATCCTTACTGCGTCGTATTTATGGTAGGATTCAACGAAGTTAGGCACATAGCCCGGGTATTTCTTTAAAGTTGGTTTGTTATGACATGCCAAAGTCAATAAAAAATGGAGAATTGTCCATGTTTATATAAGCACAGAGGCTCGCTTCGTTGCATACATGCACAATAATATATATTTAGTCATAATGTAAGGCGTATCACATCGTCATGGTAAGTTTGTTTTGGTGCTACAACAACGGTATTATACAAAGTGATTTCATGTAGTCAGAAATTTCGTCTTGCTTTATTGATAAAACTGCAGATCCCTGTTGTGCTACGTAGACAAACAAGCAGAGACCTACTTGTTTGTCTAGTTGCTACAAGGTAGCACCAAAAAATAATAAACGTGATACGTCTTATGTTGTAGGATTACATGCATTATATCTTATCCTAATAATATTATATAGCAAATGCATGATATGTGTGTAAATTCTATGCAGTCCCATTAATAATAAGCAACATTAGTTCTACATTGTACGACCTAAACCCGGATATTTATGTTTTGGGCATTGAGGTCGTATTTGGCTAAATAATTGGCACTATTTAGCATGTTTTGATGTCAACTAACATCCTAACAAGAGTCATAGTTTCAGGAATATTTCACGCATGGCAGCCCATATCCACAGGTACTTGACGAGAGTTTGATGTTTAAAAAAAAATCAATAATCTTAAGGAAAAAAGTCATAGTGACAAAAATACCTCAGATTACCCCATGGCCCATTCTGACATTGGACCCTCTTTGTCATACTATATAAGAAACAATGTATGTAACTTTTAAACACTTCGTTCAACCCATGACCCTAGATTACTTTTTGCTATTTTCGTCTCTAACGGTATGCTACCCTATTATATGGCTTGTTTTACTCCTGAGATATTTTTCTATCCATCATGCCATCGTTGACTATTTTACCTGAAGCGTGCAAATTTCGCGAATTTTGTCTGCGTGGACACATCTAGGTGACAACCAATACAAACAGCTACATATACCATGTTTGCAACTCTACGACATCCCTTTTTCAATTACAGAACAGTGGTAGATGCAAAAATAAAGTGTTTACTT